AGCTGAAGCCAGTTTCCTCATGCCTCTACGCCATGTCATGGTCTGACCGCCGCGCCGCTTCTTTCAGCCTTGCGCGGCACGTGCGAAGAGAGCACGGAAAGGTAGTCGATGGGTAGGCATACACAATACGTGGCCAAGCCATCGGAGGCGGTGTAGAACGACTACTTCTGTTAGAGCACGACTATCAACACCCAACACACGACAACGGACCTCGCCACTGTTCAACCGATGCTTCGGTGATCGAAGACAGAAAGTCGATTAGCACCCTCAACGCGGAGGGGCTAGGTCACGCAAGCGTAAAGGAGAACGTTACTAATCGTGGCGATGTACACCCTTCCCTTAAGGGACAGTCAGATGTCATAGCGGCGCCACAGGTATCGTAGGTTGGCGAAAGCTGCTCCAGTTTATATACAAGGTATATTATAATATATTATACATTATTATATACTTATTATATACAAGCTAAGTGAAAATGTTTAAGGAGGATAGGGATTGAACTTAATCTTAGGAACGGGGAAAGAAAGCGAATCTCTATGATCAACACAGAGTACACAGTTCAACTGTGCATACATACTAGTTCAAGCATTCTGGTCTGATAAGAAGTGACAGCATGATCGCCATTGCTGTCGGTTCGCAGCCATGACCTTCAGTGTCCCCAAACACACGGTTTCGGAGTCTTTTGGACCCAATTCCGGAAGACGAGAGACAATTTCTTTACCTAATCGTTCTGTGTATTTCTTCGTGCATTCTCTCCACGTAATCTGCTGCTCTCCACGCGGCTTTTTCCAGCCTGCAACAGCCACTGCGAACAAGGCGCGCTGCGGTAGGCGACCGTCGGACATACGCAAGACGTGTCCTAACCAACGAAGCCTACTGAGCTGGATTTGATGAGATAGCGAGTTCTTGTCTGATGTATTCCCAAACGCCCGATGACCTAGTTCTAAGTTACTAACACGCTCACTCCATCCCACTTGGGCCAGACTACGTAAGCATCGATTGTCGAACACTGCTAAACGACGGGTGTCTTCTACCCGTAAATTCAAGGTCTCACAACCGTAAAGCAGAACTGACCGTATAGTGGCGCAGTATACGCGACTTCTCTACTTTAGTGACACGTCACGTCGCCGCCACAGGTGTTTTAGTCCTGCATAGGCTGCTCGAGCCTTGGAAATGCGAGCGGTTATCTCCTTCGATGCGCTACCGTCGTTGGTCACAAAAGTACGAGAAGCAGTCAACTTCAGCTAATTCCTGATCGTCTAGTTTCAAAACAGAACTCGGTGACACCCAGTCTTGTAGCATCACTTTGCACTTTGAAGGTGCAAAGCACATGCCGGACGGAGCGACAGAACTTGCTAACCTGTCAAGTGCTCTTTGCGCACCCTCCATACATTCGAACAAGCAAACGATGTCGTCAGCGTCCTTCAAATCTGTCAGCTCTTCTCCAGCTGCCCATTCAATACCTACATTTGAGACCACTTAGTGCGTCCTCCAGTATTTCGTCGATGACGAAATCGAATAGGAATGGCGAAAGAGGGCATCTTTGACGAACACCACTGCTAGTTACCAACCACCTACTCAGCTTGCCGTAGACCCTTAGGCTACCAGAGGTATGTGAGTGGAGTGAATTCAGTATATTCACATACTTCTGCGGCATTCCTTCGCGAAGGAGTGAACCCATAAGGGATTCAAGATCAACTGAGTCGAAAGCTCCTTTTAGGTCAAGGAGCACGACAACCGTTGGTCGACGGTGCGTATGGCGTAGCTCGATGACTTGACGCAGGGTGAAGATTTGATCGATACAACCGCGACCTGGTCGAAATCCTGCTTGTTGTTCGAGGATGTTTGTCTCCCCAAACGGTGTCAAAAGTCGAAGTTTGATGGAGACTAGTAACTTGGTGACGATTGGGATCAAGCTTATTCCACGGTGGTTTGCACGATCATTGCAAAATCCCTTCTAAAAAATGGGAACAATCAATTATTCGCCCCAGGATGATGGAATGCGCTCATGTGACCAAATGTTACGCATTAGATCACTTATGGAGTCTACGAGGTCAACGCCTCCTAACTTGAAAAGAGCGGGGGCAAGCCCATCCGGTCCTGATGCTTTTCCTTTCTTCAGGGCTTGGATGCATGATCGAAATCTGCTGC